CACGAAGACATAGTCTATGGAAACGGACTTTCAACATTCTGCCGGCACCGAAAGAAGTTGCAGCGGTGCACGGGATGAAGGACTAGAGTTCACTCGTTGACAAACCTTGCAAGAACGAATGTACTTGTGGACAAACTGATACTGGCGGGGCCAGTAAAAGGCGCGACATACCGTAAGGTAGGTCTTTTCTCTATTACGATGCCCGCCTGATGGCGCATCGTGACACTCATACATGATGCGTAATCGCAAATCAATTATGATCGGGAACGACGACACAAGGAGTGTAGCCAGAAACTGCTGTGTAATACAGCAGACCATTGAGAGTCATTTAACGATATAAAGAGGAATGGTATAGACCCGGCGAATCCGACAAGGATTTCCGAGATGGGTTCGCAAGATGAACCATCAAACGGAGAAGATTCGTATCTCCTGCGTACGCCTTCCGCACGTCGTCAATTAAAGGCGACGATGGCACGCTGGCTGACAGTGATGCGATCGTGAGCAAGGCCTCACTGTTGGAGTGTGTAGTCGGCACGAAATCGGGCCGACGTGATAGCGCCTTAGCGACTACGTTAAGTCGTCCTGGTTTATGCTCGACGGAGAGGTTGCACTCCGCAAAGAAAGACAACCACCTCGCCATTCGTTGCGAGAGGTGGGGACTGTTTACGGCCGTGCGTGGTGACGCATGGTCCGTATAGACGATGAACGGTCTAACTCTCAAGAGATAGACGAAAAACTTAGCCAGTGCGTATTTCATGGCAAGAAGTTCCCTGTCATAAACTGGATATTTGCGTTCGGCTGGTTACAGCTGACGCGATTGATACAAGACGACGCGCTCCGCGCCGTATGTATCGTATTGCAGCAATGCACAGCCGATTGCAAAATCGCTGGCGTCTTAGACCGCATGAAATGGTCTATCCTGATCTGCAATCGCCAAGATGGGCGATTGCATCAAGCTTTTCTTTATACCTTCAAAGGAGCGCTGACAATCAGCGTTCCATGTCCAATTCACATTTTGATTAAGTAAACAAGAAAGATGAACAGTCATCTCGGCATGGTTGGGTGAATCTTTGTGCAAGTACGCCGCTAGCCCAAGGTACTTCCGCAGTCCCTTGACATCGACTGGCACTGGCTAGTCGATGATCGCCTTGATCTTCTCGGGATCGGGGCGTACACCGTGTTTACCCACGATGCACCCAAGAAGTGGTATCTCGCTAGCCCTGAATATACACTTCTTGAGATTGGCGTACAACTTATGCTTGCGCATGATTTGAAAAACCTGACGAACGTGAGTGAGTTTCGTGAACTTCATTGTCTGTCTTCCCGTCCATAGCCCAGCTATGGGCGATCACATCGTCAAAGTAACTCGGCGCGAGATCCGCACCGGTCTCAACAGAATTGTAACACATCTGTTGAAAGTAGCAGGGGCATTACTCAACCCCTGTGGCATCACTAGCCAGTCCCACAGCATACCGCTGGAGGGATCACTGCCGTGTACGGTATGTCTTGTTCACGCACGAGGATATGATAGAAGCCACCCATCAGATCCATGAACGAGAAGATGGTACTCTTGGATATACTATCTATGATTACTTCCTTCCTCGGTATCGGCGTCTTATCCGGTACCGTTGCAGCATTCAATTTGTTGAATGCGTGCACTATCCACCATCCTCTTGTGTCTTTCGCACACAAAAGGTCGGAGAGCTGTGAGAAGAAGTTATTTCCCTCACATGGCCTGCGACTAAGCGATCGGTAACGAACTTGTCGATCGCTTGCACCTGATCACGAGGCAGTGGCCACTGCTTCATGACACAGCACTTCGAGCCTGCTTTGAGCTCGATCTCGTGTCGAGTGCCATTGTCCTTAGGCAACTCTCAAGGCACGGATTCAGGGAATACATCGTTGAATTCGATCAAATCATTATACAAAGGATTTGCCTGAAGTGACTCCCAGGATTGAGACGTGTATCGCTCAATCCGAGTCTTCTCATCGATGACCTTTTAGACCATCGATGAACTGCTAAGAACCCGTTCGGTCTCAGCAAAACCATTGCCGATCGAATATCGATGACTTACTCGTCATCCGCGACGATTAAACAGATCTGTTCACGTTGCCACTACGCAGATCACGCAAGAACCGTTTCGGTTCTAGCGTTGGCAACTGAGTTATCTCCGAAGTTAACTTTGGCGGCACAACCATGTATGGAGTGTAAGCGCCTACGCTTGATCCGTCATTAACCAAGACATTCACTGTCTCACTCACTTCCTGGGAAGCCGCATCCATAGGTTCCAGGGAAGCTTTCTACACAATGTAGTGATCATCTACATTGGGTTTTGTACAGTCGTAGTAACGACCGTACCGCAAGTGAGACGATCGCACTCACTTGTAGTACACCCACATGAAGTTGGCCGTTCCAACATATTCTTCAGATCGTCATCTGATGAACAAGTGGCAGGCATTGTCACTGATCGATGCTGCCAGCTCACCGTTGGCTCGAATCTCCTGAGTCAAGGTAGTCCTCAGATGACATAAAACTTGTCATCCAAATCCAGTACGATGAAATCATAATCGCACTGTTCGCCCTCTAAAGTGTAGTGAATTCCAACTACTCGTTTCTCAACGTTTATCGATGTGCATGTCGCTAGGCGCACCGTCATTCTTGTTGGAGGGTCCCCCCTTCCACGAAGTTGATACTTCCAGCCTCTAAGGACAGGCGACGAACAGAGTTGTTCGACGGCCAACAGTCAACTATAGCGCGAAGTGACAAGTCTGTTGTCACTTTCAATTTAAGGTAATTAGTAATATCGCATAATCACGTGCAGAGACACACACGATTGTGTATCTCGAGCAAGTTTCGTCACGAGATTTGCGAATTCTCTTGAGGTTGCTGGATCAGTAGGGCGGTCCGCCCCTACTGACCCCATCGATTTTACGATGGTCCGCTTCGCTGATGCGGCTTTGCAACAGCATCGGACCCTCGTTCTCCAGTTCTTCCAGCTGGTATACGATTACTGCGCTCAGAAATGCGGGTTCTTGAGCGGGGGATACTGCATTTGTATGCATAGTGTCCCAGCTCATGACATAGTTGGCATCTCACCATTAGCTTGCCGTTCACAGGGCAAGGTTTCCTGCCCTCGACATGACAGAGGTCCATTGGATCTGGACCTCCGACCGCTGATAGTCTCTGTGAACGATAGGGGGTCAGCGTAGTGTGAGCCTGTCTCACACTTAAGTCTTCCTGCTCCGCAGCGTAGATTGCTTCGGAAAGCGTCTTTAGCTCCCGGCGAAACAGGTGGTCCTTGAAGTGACCATCTGCAAGACCTTGAGTGAATATTGTGAGCTACACAAATTCATTCGCAGGGTTCGCTACCATGCAACTTGCAATGTAGCGTACATGCTGAGCGTAAGCGTGAACCATTCGCTTACCCTGTTTGAACTCAAGGAGTTCAGATAGAGTCCTTAACTCTACCCTGGGAGGCTCAAAAGTCTCGCTGAGCAGGGTCTTGAAGACGTCTAACGACCCGACCACGTTAGGATAGTGAAACTTGAGATTGAGGGCCCAATTCATGTCTACCCCTGCCAAGTACGACTGCGAAAACGCGACTTGCATTCGCTTATTGTTGATGCGACGACGGGCTTCAATGGCACCGTCGACTTCGACGAACCATCTTTACAAGGAGTCGTCCCGACTCCGTGATACTTGGATATCTCTAGCTTTAGAGACTCCTGTCGACACTCACGCGTCGAACATGCGGACCGAGACTGATGCTATCTCTGATATTCCGTCCGCTGGTGATCTTGTGGTTTTTTTAAGGTCACCTGCACTCGCGACTCAAGTTCTCGCTGCAAGAACTTGCTAATGACGGAATGCTGCTGGTCTCTATCCCTTGTGGATAGCATGTTCCAGATAGCTTCCCCGCCAACGGTCGAACTCATTTGTTTGATCGCACTCCATTCGACATCGCTCAAATGGGAGTAGTTTTCACGAGTACTGAGAAAACTGTCGCCTTCGACTTCGTCGAACATGTTCATGTTGGGCGATGCGAGTGTGGTCCTTGGACGGACTACAAAGTGCTACCAGGTGTTTGGGGGCACCGATGACTACGTAATGGTCAACCAGACGGAATTTACTATCACTGACTGTAGTGATAGTCAGTGCTATGCTAAGTTTAGAACAACATAGAGGAAGATAGAGCGACTAAGGCAAAGGCCCTAGTCGTGGTAAAAGCAAAACTGTCATTAATATAATTAAGTCCTATAACTCTTGTGTCTCTGTTTGTCCTGACTTGATTATGCTAATATACCTAATCGTATGATGACGTCTACTCACCACCCATTGCGCGCGTCTAGCAGCGAATGGTGGGTTGATATCATCACGATATCAACCAATGAGTAGACCCTTCGGTCATCCCAACAATATCAGCATCCTTTTAGATATTGTTGAAAGAATATTCAACGTAATATTATTTATTGTCATTTTAGCCTTAATATCAATTTTCATGTAACGGGCTAACCCGTTACGTAACAGATGACCGACAATGGTGAAGTAAGTGGTAACAACATCCAAGCGCTGGGGTTGATCATTGATCGCGGTTGTCGACTTCCTCTGCTTTTTCTTCCGATAGCATTGTCGCACCAAACCATACAGTCGTCATCACAAATTGCAAATCAGGCTCTTAGGTTTCTTGCCGAGCACAACTGACAACAACACGATACAGCAACAAAGGCTACGACATCTGAATCTGCTGCACTCGCTGATAGCTCTATCATATACATCTGATCTACTGGCGTTATCAGCGAAGACACTTGTTCGCCGAAAATGTCGAGCAATGTGTGGCCAGTTCCCTGTAGCCACTTTGTGACTCGAGCGTCAGAGCATTGGTGTCTGACACACTATTTCGGCACAAAAACCACCACTTTGACAAATCGAGCGAAAAAAGAGTCGCGAGTGTCTTCACTTCGAGCTATCAGCGACTTCTCTTTGCCCAAACTTGCGAGCGATGGAGAGCCAAGTAGTCGAACTCACAGAGGCCGAGCAGGCTCAGCACCAGCTGCAGATGGAGCAGCAGCTCAAGTCGTTCTGGGCCAAGCAGTTTCTGGAGATGGAGCAGCTCGAAGTCGGCAGTGAACAAGGTGCGATTGATTGCGTGGACGAAAAAGAGAAAAGAGAAGAAGGTGATCGTGGAGACCCAATTTACGTGACTAACTTGTTTTCTGTGCATGTCTTTTTGATTGCACCGCTTGACTCAGATTTCAAGAACCATAACGACCTACCCCTAGCGCGCATCAAGCGCATCATGAAGTCGGACGAAGACGTGCGTATGATCAGTGCCGAAGCGCCCGTGCTCTTTGCCAAGGCGTGCGAGATGTTTATCCTGGAGCTCACGCTGCGATCGTGGGGCTACTCGGAGAAGAACAAGCGGCGGACGCTGCAAAAGGAGGACATTCAGACAGCCATTCGGAACACGGACATTTTCGATTTTCTCGTGGACGTCATTAACTAAACGAAGAAGAAGGAGGGGCTGTAGACGTGGCGTCCATGTTGGCAATAGTAGACAAGATCTGGACGAGAAAAGAAGCGTGTCCAGTTGATTTTGGCAAGACGTGCTGGACGGTTCTATTGGCAAAGCCAATACACTTAGCAGGTAGGAAGCCACTTTCGTGCCGCTTTGACGTCGTAATGTGTGAAGTGTAGATGGACAATAATGCTGTTGCGTGACTTGCCTGCGATCGTCGATGTACAAAGTGCCGTTCGCGTTGGAAACGAGCGGTGCCCACATTTCAGTTGACGCACGATTGACAATCACTACAAACACGTTGTGATGGAAGTGCGTCTACGAACGCAAAGGTCGAGCGGATCAAGCTGAGCTGCAGCCTCAAGTAACTGGACGACGGTCAAGTAGTAGTCACCGTGCCGCCAGTGTCGACTCACGTCTTTTTGTGCCAGTTTCAGCAGCATTTTTCAGCAGTTGTCACAACAAAGTAGCTGAAGTACTTGCACAACATCTTCATTCCATCGCCCGATTGTACCACCGCTTCAGCAAAACAAAAGCTGAATATAGCGAAGCAGCCTAACGGTGCGATCGCTGGCGTTGGTGTAAGTGTTGCTTTGTGCAGGTTGGCTTCCGTGAGGTTCAGTCCAGATCGTTATCAGAGATGAGTTGGACGTTGTGGTGGCGCAGCGTACGACAAACGCGGCATCAGCTACTACGAGTTTGAGTCGGTTAGAGACCATACTACGGTCTAACGAGCAAGAACAAGTTCAGGGCCCATTCCCACGCTTCTTCTTCTTTGTCCGAGCCAGTGAGGAGTCCCATCGCATACGTGTGAGTGCACTCAATGCTGCGAAGAAGAGTCCAGTAGCGCCTGGGTGAGGAACGTGATGACGAATGTCTCGCTTATGGGGACGGTAAAGGTACTGACGGTAATGTGGACCTACACACGTGACGTGGCACATGAACTCTACCACACACACACACCAACGGCTCTGCATTGTCGACATTATCAGCTACCGTTACAGTACCAAGCAACGAGGCTACCGATGCGGAGAGGACAGTATCACACAATACTGCCCTCTCAGTATCGAGAGCCGAATGTCTTGTTTCAGGCGTTCGGACACGTGTGTGTCTGCAAGCAGACAGGGACGCACGAGTTTAATTTTTGCACCACAACAGCACCAGGGACTGATCTGCGGATTCCCATGGACGTTTCCAGTGATCTTCACCACTCGTGGGGGTGTTTATCATGAGCAGCAAGAACGCCAGTGATATCTCGATACTTGACCGTGCACAGAGCACAAGCGACCAAAAAATCGAGTTGCGTTGCAGTGACTCGCATCCGTCATACAAAAGACGCAAAGCGGAGCTCGAGTCACTCCACGTCTCCTCCGTGGGCGGTTTTTGCTACCTGCAGCACTCATATTGTAGAGAAGGGCGTCCAGCTGTGACGTCGTGGAAGTGTCGTCTGATCACGGGCAGCACAAGAGGTGAGAAGCGTACATTTCAGCGGCCTCCAACACAAGGAGTCGAGCCAGATGAGCAGACTTTTGTCGTGGCGCTCGCAACGATTACGTCAAAAATTGAGGCGGATGCAACACCGACGTCAGGGCTTGAAGCAAATAAAGACTTCCCGCCGTCTGCTCCAAGCAGCTGCTGCAGGTGTCATCACGATAGCAGCTCTCTCTGGCCAATATGAATCGAAACGCATCGTGCTCTGCAATCTTTCGCCACGCATTCACGCAGGTCGATTGGACACTGACCGAGACGCCAGCTGTATCGTCCCACCACGTGGTTGCACGCATGATGTGCAACCACTTTTGACGAGTTCACACGTTGTTGTATGCCGTGACACAAGACGTTTCATTTAGCAGGTCCCATTCAACCGACACGACGTCCGCGCGAACGAGCAGCTCATTCTTCGCGAGAATAAGGTGAAGCGGTTTCTCCTCTGGTAACATCCGAGAGCTCTAACGGTCGGAAGCGCATGATATACGTGCGAAAATAGAGGATATCTTATGCAGAGATCCATCATCCTACGGAGAGGAAGCACTTGTGCTCTTTTTGTAGAGGCACAGATGCTTTCATTGTGAGTCACGTTAGGCTGAACTCGGCTAAGGCACCGAAGACAGTTGCTGCTTCACGCTGTACTTGCGTAACGCCGAGGCATCAAAAGCTCGTGCGACTAATTTTCCACAGTGCACGCAGCAACCGACCAGGGAGCTCACACATGCGGCTCTAGCGGTTCGTACCAGCAGCAGTCGCCCATGGCACATCCATCCATACATCTTTCGATACCGTATCAATGTACAGCGCGTAGCTATCACACACAAGACGGTGTCCAAACGACTTTGGACCGACAAGTGCATCGCGTCACACTCTATCCGTCGACAAAAAAGTGCTCAACATTTGACGCGTTCGTCGGTGCTTTTTCCAAACCAGATCGATGCGTTGTAGCGAGATCCAGTGATTGGCCAATAGTCCGTCCACAGGCGAAAGCAGATTCGCAGGAAACTGCAAAGAAACCGCCACCGCTGTGCTTCGTGCCACACTGCAAAGTTCGTTGCGACAGACGCGTTTGCTTACTTGTTTACACGTGGAGAGCGGTATTTGGCTATATATGGCGATTGGCAGACCGCGTCCAGGCAGTCCCTCTCTCTCATTCTCTTGTTCACATGATGCCGCCTCCGCGTGTGCATGTGAGCGCCCAGCTCTTTGCCATCCACTGCTCTTCTCTCCTTTTTCTTCAGTCCAACTGACCTCGTGGGTCTCTCCCATGCACATGTATAAATACAAATATTTATAGCGCTCGGCTCGTTAGCTGCTCACCATACACATTGTCGCACATGAGGGACGGCGGCCATTGCGTGACAAAATTCGGCTCTCCCAACGTGCGTTCCGGCGAACGTTCGGGCGGGTTCTGGCTATGTCCCTCGACTGGTCAGCGTCCGTCACGTCGAGACTTTCTCACTCTGCAATTTGCGCCCTCTCGACTTGAAGTGCGCGGACGTCGTCCACTCTCTTGTCGTAGAATACCACCGCCCACTCGCTCCGCATAATGAGCAGCGACGTGGCGAAGAGCTACGATCTTCACGTCTCGCCCGTGATGCCGGGTATGCTCAAGGAAAGCGGCGAGTACGACCGACCGCCGGCGCACGGGGTGTCGCACCCGTCGATCTGGTTACTGCTCGCGGTGTCGATGCCGCGCATGGCGATCAACATGGCCTGGTCCGCCCAATGGGCCGCCCTGGGCCCCTTTCTCTCGACCATGTTGCCCAACTTTGCCGTCCAAGTGACGCAGTTTGTAGGACCGATTGTCGGCGTGCTCGTGGGCCCCAGCGTCGGTGTCTTTAGTGACCGCAGCACGTGCAAATTCGGCCGTCGGCGACCGTTCCTCGCGGTCGCTGGTGTTCTCAGTATCATGTGCTGGATCGCCATGAGCTACACACGGGAGATGGGCGAAGCTCTGGGGGACCACAGCGAGGGACCGGATGGCGAACCCGCTGACCGCACGTGGACGTCGGTCCTCACTGTCTTTTTTTACCTATGGATGGACATTACCGTCAACGTTGTGCAGACGCCAGCGATGCTCCTCATTGCTGACTTTGCCGGCGATCGTCAAACGACTGGAGCTGCGTTCGGCCAGGCGTGGTCGACGTTGGGGTCGATCCTTGTCGCTGGCTACATTGAGCTCTTCGGAGCGGCGCACAAGTCGCTGCACGAGTTCATGTGGATGCTGTCGGGGACGATGCTCACGTGCATCGCTGTTGCAGTAGTGTTTGCCCGAGAGACGCCGTTGGACCCGAGCAAAGTCGAAGGCGGTTCAACGTGGAAGCGAATCGTCGACGCCTTTGCGTCTGTCTACCGCGGCATCCGCACACTTCCCAGTGTACTCGCTGTCTACGGCATCTGTCTGTTCTTCGTCCAGTACGGGTTCACGGCGTACAATGGCAACAAGGGGCAGTTTTTTGGCCTGGAGGTGTATGATGGATCCGCTGAAAATGCAGATAGCTGCAATCCGTGCACCCCCGAGCAAGACGCCTACAACAAGGGAGTCAGCATTGCCGGTGGCCGCGCTGATCTGCTGTTCAACATTGCGGGGTACGTCTACTCGTGGACGCTGCCGTTTCTGACGCGCAAGTTTGGGGTGAAGTGGGTCTTGACGATTTCGACCGTTCCGCAGAGCTTGCTCCTGGTCATGGCGTGGACGAGGAGCGTGACGTTCAACGTGTTTGTCGTTGCCATTACCAGCTTGACGCAGGCCGCGTGGTTTGCGTTCATTGTGCCCGTGATTGTCCACGTGTTCGGGGACGACAAAGACATTGGCGTCTACGTCGGAGCGCTGAACTCGGCCAATTGCTTTGGACAGTTGTTGAACTTTGCCGTCGGCTCGGGGATCGTCGAGACGCCGCTGGGGTACAAACTTCCTGTGTTTCTCGGTGGGATCATGAGCGCTCTCGGCTTTGTCACAGTGCTGCTCTTTTTCAAGATGAAGATCCACTCCATGTAAGCATTGCCTGTTCCGTTTCGCGTCCTTAGCCGTTGATCTAACACCAGCTGCATATTGCCGTATACAAACTTTCAATAGACGTCTCTTACGAAAGGGAAATTATCTTACTTTTCCGTCGCAAGACGTTGCGGCCTGACGCCGCCCAAAGTCTCTGATATTCAGCCGCTGTGATTGTGCGAGCGCGAGACTCAGCACCGATTGACCAGCGCGCGAGGAGATTCTGCTCTTCGGGCCCTGAGGACGGCGAAACATCCATCCATCGATCGATCGATCCACCTGATATTTTTTTTTCGTTTAGAAATGTATCCACTCCGATCCATTTCTACCCTGCGCCCCGAGCGCTCAGGAGCTCACTTTATCTTTTGCGCTCTTCCGCACCCGTCTCGACTCGTTCTCTCGGCTCCTTCGTGCCACCGCCCGCTGCATCACAATGGACGGCCTCAGTCGCGCCTTCCACTTCATCCTCGACCCTTTCCAACAGGAGAAAAAGCCCGAGAAAGCGGCCACGGCGCCCTTCGACCAGCCGCACCTCGAGCCCTCGCGCTGGTTCCTCACGGACGCCGAGATGCGCACGTCGCGCGACGGCCACGCGCGTAAGGGCATGCACTTGTTTACCACGGGCAACCGCGTGAAGCTCTACGCTGCGTCGGCCGAGTACTTCCACGACGTGGCCGACGACATGTCGCACGTCCGCCAGGGCGACCTCGTCTACCTCACGGGCTGGGGCACGTGCAACGTGCCGTTCAAGCCGCAGCACGACCCGTCGTCGACAAAGCTCTGCGACTTGGCCGGCGCTGCTGTCCAGCGCGGCGCCGACTGGCGCATGCTCGTGTGGTCCAACGTCACGGAGCGGGCCCAAAACCACGACGTGCGCGACCTGATCAACGCCCTGCCGCCGCCGAAAGAGCACGGCCCGGCGCGCTTTGTCTACGACGACCGCCTGCCGTACGCCACGTCGTCGCACCACCAAAAGTCAGTCATTGTGCGCAAAGGACGCGACCTCGTGGCCTACGTGGGCGGCGTGGACCTCACGAACGACCGTTGGGACACGCTCGCGCACGACCAGGCCGAGCTCCGTGAGCGCACGGGCATCAAGTGTCAGTGGGACGGCTGGCTCGACGCCCACGCGCGCGTGGAAGGGCCAGCGACAATGGACGTCGCGCGCAACTTTCTCGACCGCTGGAACTCAAAGCACGAGCCGTCGCAGGATTTATTGGATGATTTGTTGGATTTCGAAAATCCGGCTTTTTCCAAACTCCCGCCCGTGGAGAAGAGCAAGACGCCGGTGGATATTCCCGACGACGGCCCACATGCGGTGCAACTCTGCCGCACATTCAGTCCGGACTACGACCACTATGACTTTGCCCCGCAGGGCGAGCAGTCGATCTTTCACGCGCGGATCAAAGCCATTCGCAATGCGCAGAACTACATCTTTATCCAGGACCAGTACTTTATCCTCGTGCCGGAGCTCTTGGACGCGATCATGGACATGATGCCGAGCATCGAGCGGCTCATTGTCATTGTGCAGCGCACGGTCGAGGCGGGGTACACGGGGTACGCCAAGTACCTCTACGACATGGTGTCGCCCATCCAGAAGGCGTTCCCGGACAAGTTTAAGCTGTACACGACCAAGGAGGCCAAGCAGCTGTACATCCACAGCAAGTTGGTGATCATCGACGATGTCTACGTGTCCCTGGGCTCGGCGAATTGGAACCGTCGCAGCATGACGAGCGACACGGAAATCGGCATCAACATTGTTGACACGGAGCTCGTCAAGTCGCCTGACAACATTACGGTGAACAAGTTGGCGCGCGACTTCCGGATCCATAAGTTCATGGAGGCGACCAAGCAGAGTTACGAGGAACTGGACGCCATGACGTTCCTCGAGGCGTGTGACGCGCTGGAAGCTGCTGCCCATGACGACGGCTCGAGTCTGATTGAACCCTATGCTGTGGAGGACCAGGCGGGTTTTGACTACGTGCCGGACGCACTGCGCCAGATCGTTGACCCGGACGTTGAGCGCAACGAGTAACAGCGCACAGTTGCGTGTGTGCGCTTGTGTGGCCGAATGCCTGTCAAGCCTTGTCGCTGTTGCAGATATCGAGATCACGTTCATCAAGCACGTGAGTTGTGAATCAAAGTGCCGACCTATAAACCTTAAAAGAGGAAACGCAGAGTCAGATGTTGACGATGCCTGGCTATGACGTCGATGTGCCTGTGGCAGTGTGCGTGTGCATACGCTATTCCTGTATGTGGATCGGCCTCCATTAGTGCCACATCCGTTCCGTATCCTTGCGCACTCAATCAGGTCCTGCCACGAACTTGTTTGATCGGTCTGAGGGGTATGTTTTCCCGCAAGAGATCATCGTAGAGGTAATAAATGCAAAGAGCCGATCGTAAAAGGCTTTGCATTTCGCAATCGCTCTACCGCCTATCGTCGATGACGTACGCCACCGAACAAAGTCGTTGTTTACTGTCCTTCTTCGCCTTTCCCTGAGTTGTCAACAAGGGCAACAATTACATACGGTGCGTCATCCATCTGTCTTTTGTTGCCCGCACATTGTGGTAGACGTATGCACAGATGCGTTCGCTCTCTTTTGACAATACTTACATATCTTACTAATGTAACACCCGACAGTATGGTCACGATTGCATCAGGTAGAACTAAAATGCGATCATGTCGCGAGACAAGGCCAACTACTTTATGCAGGAATCGCGATTGTCAATCGTTAGTGCCTTATCAAACCGCCAGGTGGTATGATCAGCTGATTGGAACATCGCTTGAGTCAATAATGCATGAATACACTTTGTAACTCCATGAGGCCGGCATTAGACTCGATCGTGGTTTCGATTGTCGGTCAAAGCCCTTGAGTATTGCTACACTTGGAACACAGTAGCAGGTCATGAGTGAGGCAAGAAGCGATCATCACCAGTATTAGCTGTTGAGCTACCTCGCAGTAGCGCCACCTCGGTGACGTGTAAAATGGCCTCAGGCGTGGCGGTATGGTAGAGACTATGGCCACTATCGCTTTGCGCGCGTTCGTGGAGGACGTGGTCAACGCCTTGTGATACCGCTAGACTTGATGCATTCGGCAGCAATGCGGCGAACGCTTAGCAGTCAGAAATGATCCAGCTGAGTGCCAGATTGTCATCTTAGGGAGCATGTACACTTTCTCTGATCTGACTGTGATTTCTGTTCATGCTGTCCGTATATGGCGCTACATCTGCATTGCGATGAAGATGTAACGTCCAATTTCGGACACAATGAATCGAACCGCGTACTATCGGAGTGAAGAGACCAAATTAGTCGAATGAGCGACCGAGTTGCTGGTGCTTCCCAGGCCGTTTCAGCAGATCAAGTCAATGACACTGAAGTTTCGCATTGAGGTCGTTTGCGATGGATGGTCGCTTGAGCTATAGCCACGACCAAACAGGACACTTCCTTTGCATTATTTTCTTCGACCGAAGGCCAGCTAGTGCCACCACGTTGCTTTGAGTGCATCAAGCTCCAAGATGCAACCATCGCGACAGCTAAGCTGCTAGCGGCCCAGAATTCATCGTCGGCTCCGTTATCGATGGTCAATTTCGTGCAAAACGCAGGGAGCTTGCAGCCATGCTTGTGGATTCAGTGGAGACGCGGTGCACCGCACATGATGGCATGCGCACAAACACAAGCTAAAGGGTCGAGGCTGCTTTTCATGGCAGACGACAGCCACCAACCTCCGCAGCGCATTGGTTTTAGACATGCGATGTTACTTTCGCCGAGTTAGATTCGTTTCAATCAGCTGAGCAAAGCTCTTATCGTGATCGGCTTGTTGTCCACCCTCCCGTAGGCAGAAACTGTACTCAAGTTGGCGACGGGGTCAGCCGACGACACATCTTCACACGCTAACTGCTTGTGCGAATGCGATCCTGTAAACAAGGGGGCTCCAATTGGAGACGGACAGCAGCGTAGTTGGCGTCAACTAAGTCGACTGGTTACTGACTGTGTTTACGCAAGTGACTTCTTGACTGTAATCAAAGGTTTCCGCTTTGAGACCAGACTTTCCACCTCCAAAGCATTTTTCTCCACAGACAGCTTACGCCTGTGCGTGAACAGGATGATGATTGACACGAGCTCGTCAGATGTGTTTTTTGTACAAATCAGTCTGATCACGTTGAACTGCCGTCGGCATACTTTTCCCTACAACAGCTGATGCAAACGGTACATGAGCTCCCGCTCATGACAGAATCTGTCGAGCATTGTGGTGCTACGTCCTCTCAAAAAGTGGCCGCAGATGCAGGTTACGTGCATGCACGCTACTCCCACATCATCGTGATCGATAAGCAGAGCTTGACCAACGACTTCAGGCCCGAATCGGAGAAAGCAAAACGAATGACGGATACAAATGCTAGGTGACAAACAGGTCGTCCGTTACATGCCCGCCCATCAATTCCGAACAGAAAATACATCGACTTAGACTCACCCTCTTCAGGAGCTGGAGTCAAGTTTACGAAGGCAGCAAGTACGCTGTGGGTAGACGCGACCAGGCGAGGCGAGGCACCTACCAATCCCAGCGCCTCTTCCGCGATTCCGATCCAAATACTCGTTGCAATTCACGATGAGGTATCTCTTTTCCGGTCATTCGCTTGCCTTTTCCTGATCCCGTAGCGCGTTCACAACCAGATTCGCCGCCCAATGGATGTGTCTTTCCCTGCCAAGCTCGGCGTCCTAATAACACTCATTGTGGCTGTCGTCACGGCTTGTACAATCATCGCGCTTGCCGACACACGACCGGATCCACGTCCAGTCTTGCTGTTGACAGGCGACTCTCAGACAGGAGAAGGAGCGAATCCATTACTAAGTGGCTGGGTCGCAATGCTACGGTGGCGATACGTGGGCGCCGACGTCATCACGCGCGCGCTTCCGGGCTACAATACCAAATGGTTTCTCAAATACGTCGCGCCTACAATCGCGCGTGAAATTCAGAAAAGCGTCTATCCTACACCGTCACTCATCACGATTTGGTTTGGAAGCAACGATGCCGCTCTGGCAAACGGCACTGCCTCGAAAAGGCATGTCCCCATCGCAGACTACAAGAACAATTTGATCGCGATCGCTCGCAGTTTCCAGACGGCAGCACCTACTGCATCCTTGTTGTTGATCACGCCACTACACGTAATCGACAGTGCTAGAGCCAAGATCTCAGCAGAACAAAACGGCACGATTGACCGAACGAATGCCATGGCGACGTTGTATGCTCGCGCATGCGTGGAAGTCGGTGCAGCACTACAAGTTCCAGTATTGGACCTACACTCGTACTTTAATGCGATGCCTGAGATAATGCGTAGTGCTTTTTTGCTCGCTGATGGACTACACTTGAGCGCATTGGGTAATCGTCAAGTCAACGCGCTACTGCAAAGTAAACTTGCACTCGAGTTTTTCGCGTTAAAAGGCTTCCTCGATGTACCATATTTTCCAGCAGCTGACCAGTACCTACGCGATGATCCGTGGAGAATAGAGGGTGACAGTCAAGATTGATCTGCACTTCTAAGTAGTACAATAGCGTTACCCTTTACACAGAACTGGTGTCTGAAGTTTAGCTCCTCTGGTTTTCTTGCTGCTACGATCATCGTCGAGCTACTGCATGGAGCTGAGTACACCTCTTCACGTTCACTTTAAGCAATATGAACAGCATAAATCCACGAGTATTGTCAAAGCTCACACGAGCCTGTCTACTGACCACACACTGACATCATCGATCTTTCACGCTCCGTGAGGTCTCATGACAAGATAGCCGACGACTTCTCAAACGCACGGCACGACGTTTCAAGGAGCAGTGCAAGAGCACAACACCATCGATAGAGGTCAAACACTTGATCGAGTACACGGAGCGGCAGGACGAACTCGATGCCGAGTAGCGTAGAAGCCCGGGAACTGACGCATGTCAGCTATGGTTGCAGCCGACGCATGAACGGACCAAGCGCTACGGTACTAGCGCTCGACAACAAAGGTCCTTGTAGTCTACACTTACACCATTTCTCAAGAAATGGATTCGTTCTCGACCGCGTCGCTCCTGTCTATAGCAGCTGCACACTTCAGCGGTGGTAGTGTGTCGAGCAGCGTGTCATGCTTGCCATCCAATGCGACATGCACAGTATCTATTCGTGCTGCCAAACATTGGCCTAAATCAATCTATTCATGCTGTCGAACGTCTTTATGAAGAATAAGCAGCAGAGCACAAGCACTGCGTTCATCGTCAACTCGCGTATTGGTAGTTGACAAAAGCAGCTTTGGAAACACCCAAGACGTTTCCAAGCCGCCTTCGTTGTTAGCAAACATATACACTGCATATGACGTAGGGCAGCAAGCTCGGATTCCACTTCCTCAGTACATCACAGCACGCCCACGCGCTGTGCAGTCCACGCTCTTATAGATTTTAAGAAGAGGGTTAATTGAGTGTTGGTGACAGGTATTTATAAATAATGCTGGTACCTACTGCCTCGTATGCGTTGCCTAGCATACTACAGGTGTTCGTGTGGTCTGATTGTATCGTGACGATGACCAGCAAGTTCACTTATCGATTCTCTTGTCAGACAGTTTCATCAATGAGCGTCTTATGAGCCTTAATTGACAAGGCTCTGGACCGTTAACATCATTAGACAGAAGCCTCATCGGTCAGGACTGACAAAGACAGTCAGGAAGCCAAACATGTCAAGGAAAAGTAGTGAATCTCTTGTCGTCTACCAGGCAGTGGGTGGTCGTTATTGCAAGCATTTATCCTCTCTCGTCGTCACTATGTTGCTTCGTTCAATAGAGGATACAGCGCAATGTCATTTAGCGTGTATCTTATGGATTATACATGATCTGTTGGCTGCTGCACCCGCCTTGCACCTTGACCTCAATCTCACATATTAAGCCACTTATTCACACTATGGTGAACTCATCCATCGACGTATAGCCATGACAAACACGTTTGTCCTCCATTGAATACTTCACAAACTCGCATAGAGCTTTCAGGCCCGAGTCAAGCAAAGACAGTCAATAATTGCGCTCATGTGCCTGGCGTAAATGCTTGAGAGTAGAAAAGTGTGATTGTCGATGACTATGGACTATAAAGCATCACGACGAGTAGCAGGTACAATTTTAGGCGGTGATGTGTACATAAAGGGCGCAGCAGGTGTGAACCCGACTTCTAGTGGCCTTGTCCAAAGCAGGTTATCGTTATCGACCGACAAGTGATGCGGCGATATTCACCGCTCAGCAAAGTCGGCTGCGCTATTAACAGCTTTGTAAGAGTGTTCGTAAAAGACAGCAGCATCAAAGTCATCAAATTCTAGATTGTAGTCAGCACACACTTTGCAAGACATTACGACAAGACAATTGTTATCATGCCGTCGCGGTGATCAACTGCTTGTCCAACTTGGTCATTCCGCGAGCGATGCAGCTATCTTAAAATCGATCCTAGGCATCATCGGTCATCAGACTTGATAGACCACAGCAATCAGATGGTCGTGTCATATACCCATCGTGTAAGTTGCGCGATTTGTGATGGATGTCGCTTATTCCCCAGATGAAGAGATGCCACCACCACCTGCGCAGTGTTGTCCACATGACCGGAGTGTAGCGGTACCACACTACTCGTCCCACTTCTGAAAAGATTATGTATGGCGCGGTATAAACCAAAGCAAACACCTTAGATAGTCTGTCAAGCAATAGTGCAACGGGGCAAGTTATCAGCTTCTGCAGCAGCAACACTTCTCTGTCAACATTCATGCAAAACCGATAATTGATAGTAAACGCAGCTACAAATTGTAAAGCTACATGTGTAACGGGGTTACACGTCGACTGGTAGTCGACAATAGGTGTGGTACACACGAGGGATGGGATCCCCTTTAAAGCCATATTAGAACACAGTATCAATTGTTGAAGACTGATGTCTGTCAACCATTGATTACGAGATCTTTTGAGAGGTTTATTTAGGACATTATCGAATAGATTGATTTCTTTGCTCTAAGGTGTTCTTTTAGGTTAAAAGAAGAAATAAAATTCAGTTCCCATTTTGATCAGCATAAGAAACGTGCCTTACGAGGCGTCTTGATCGGAAGAGCTAGCAACGCCTGTAAAGATAGCTGCTCTTGAGCACTCTGTGCTGTGATTCTCTTGAATCGTTTGGTCCCCCTGGAACAGGGACCGTAAGCCATCTGAGCTTGTTGACTCTCTGAGTCGGGTTCTTTGAACCACCCTTTAGCTCTCGGAGCTGTTGACTCTTTGAGTCGGGTTCGTAGAACCAAAGTTGCTCGTAAGAGCGTTAAAGTCTTCCTCTGACTTAAGGAGCTGTGTAGCTCCGCTACGCTTGGAAGCACTTGTAGTCAACCTACGCCTGAGTCGTTACGACTGATCCTCTGTTAGGATGAAGCAATACACACCCCTCTTTGAGGCTCAAAAGGTCGCGCTTGAGAAGCTGACCGCGGCCGTAGGCCCTGAGTATGTGGAGTTTCTAGCTGCACAAAATCCCGATGTGCTCAATGCACGAGTCGAGGCCTTCATGCAGTGTGAACCTGCCCTTTTAGGGCAGGTTCAAAACCAAGTAGCGTCGGCTATGCCAACATGCTACGTGGAAATGCCACAAGAAGAGGCTAAGCCTCGTCCCTTTAGGGTGGACGTTAAATGTTACTCCGGTAAGGAGGAGGAAAACCTGACCCTCTGGATCCGTGAGATTGAGATGGCCATGAGCTCTGGCCTTATTTCACTCGAGTACCAGCGGGTCTCGCTGGCTATCTCCCAGCTCGATGGAAGATCTAGAGAGTGGGCTCTGACGTGTGGCACATCGGTCGACTTGGCGTTCACCACATGGGATTCGCTCAAGTTAGACCTTTTGCAAGTTTTCTCGCCGCCTATCCAGGCTTATCGCGTGCGCTCACGCTTCTTGTCTACCTGTCAGGGTAAGAATGAGTTAACGGACAATGTCCAAGAGTTGAGAACTCTTATGGCTGCTATGCAGTCTGACCCTCTCCCTGAGACAGTTTGTGTGACTGTCTTCATGGAAGGGCCTTTAAATGGCGTTGTCTGGACCGAGGTGTTTCGGGTTCATCTCTCTACTTTTGAGGAAGCTGTTATCATCGCTCAAAATGCTGAGCACAACTTCAAGTCGGCCAGAATTGGTTGGAATGGGTACAGCCCAACCTTTGCGAGGGCAACCTCTGCGAGCACCTCGGATTACTGTAAACCAGAACCGATGGATCTCAGCCATGCTGAAGATGAAGGCGAAGCGGAGCTTCATGTTGCAGATCAACGACAGGAAGTGAGACTCTGTTATATGTGCGGAAGCACTAAACACTTGCGTCCCACTTTTCCTTTGCGTAAGCAACAACCGACTGCTATGGGCCGAAACCCCAGCCACAACCAGAAACCTGGTATGGCACGGGGAAACGTCGACACCCATTAGGTGCGGGGCGCCCTACTGGGGTAGAAATGAGTTTTGTTGCTTCTCTACGAGGTAGAGTAAAACAGGGCTTATCCCCACAGAGCTCTGTGCCCATCAGCATAGAGAGTAGATACGGTCCAGGCTTTTTAGTCTCTGAGGCGACAGTGAGAGGCTTTGAGAAGCAGTGGTCGATCCTAATCGACTCCGGAGCATCATGAAATTACGCTCGACGTCGTTCACTTGAGGGAAGTCAGCGATATGCTGAAGCGCTCAAAGCGCATGAAGGTAATTCAATCACATCTGTTCGTTGAGCGAATGGTAGTCGCGTCACGGTGCCTAAAGTTTCGTTGAACTTAGGTGTGAAGTTTGTGGACCTTGAAAGCACAGAACGCTGTATTGTCCTAGACCTTGATTCGAGATTTGATCTCATCCTAGGTATGGCTTGGCTTGAACGCCATGAGCCATGGATTGGTTGGAGGTCTAAGACCTTAGTCGCAACGCGCATTGTTCCTAGAGAAGCTTTGGAGAGTCGTGAACCCAACTTTGCTAGTAAACAGAAGAAATATTGGCGCGAGACATTAACATAAGATGCCAACGTGCTAGACATTCTTATGTCAGAGTTAATCAACTCCAATGTCAATGAAACAACTTTTGAGCAGAGCTATTTCACCGTATGTGAAGGGATTATACCCCGATGAGTGATACTCGTCGTGATAATGAGTCACTGCATGCTGCATGCATGGTTAGCCTAGGGCCGAAATATCAAGAATATAATTACACTGATGTGAGTGGGGTGGCACGTGAAATTACACCGAGTGAGGGCGGCCGAGGTGGCACCTCACTGAATGTCGGTAATGACATTGATGGCGAGGAGCCAGAGTGTTCAGGGCTAGGCCCGGATGATGTACGTGAAGTGGCACGTGTAAATTCAATGTGTGAAGTGTTTGAGTTGCGTAACACTTCACCAGATGTCGTTCAAGACGTGAGCTCTCGTATAGAGCGTGCTACGGTAAAAAAACCACGGGGACCCTACTGTCCCGGCCTCTAAGAGGTGTAAGGTTTCTTTGAGGAAACAATCTCAGCGTCGGGTGGCAACTGTTAAGCGCCCCACGTC